TGTGCCTCACCAGAAGTTCAGATACAGTACATAGTACAGCCTGTACTATTGTGGGATGTCGTAGGGTGAGGGTGAGGTAGCCGTATTGCCTTCAATAAGAAAAAAAAGCTGCATTAATCCTTCACCAGCACACCGTCAGAGCACGTTTTCATTGCACACAGGAAAGAGATCGGAACTCAGGCTGCTTCTTACACTAACAGACTAAGGAACCTCTGAACTGATATCAGTGGCACCTTTCACCCGTAACCCCTTTCAGCATGGCAGGTGATGTAGTAACAACACATTACCTGCAGTACCTGCCGAAACCAGAGAAAATAACCATGCCTTCTGCTCACACATATGTGAGTTAACTTTGTTCATGATATGGTTTGGTCATTTTTAGCATAGTTTGGTAGTTTTTGTCGTAGGTCATCTGTTTCTCTGCATACTTTGTTAGCCCCCTTTACCCTGTTCTTCTGTGGTCAGGACCCCCATGGACCCTCACAGAGCAGGTACTATTTGGGTGGTGGATCATTCTCAGCACTGCAGCAACACTGACGTGGTGGTGGTGTGTTAGTGTGTGTTGTGCTGGTCTGAGTGGATCAGACACAGCAGTGCTGCTGGAGTTTTTAAACACTGTGTCCACTCACTGTCCACTCTATTAGACACTCCTACCTTGTCAGTCCACCCTGTAGATGTAAAGTCAGAGACGATAGCTCATCTGCTGCTGCACAGTTTGTGTTGGTCATCCTCTAGTCCTTCATCAGTGGTCGCAGGACGCTGTATATTTTTGGTTGGTGGACTATTGTCAGTCCAGCAGTGACACTGAGGTGTTTAAAAACTCGAGCAGCACTGAGAATGATCCACCACCCAGATGCTCTGTGAGGGTCCATGGGGGTCTTGACCACTGAAGAACAGGGTAAAGGGGGCTAACAAAGTATGCAGAGAAACAGATGGACTACAGTCTGTAATTGTAGAACTACGAAGTACACCCATATAGTAAGTGGAGCTGATAAAATGGACAGTGAGTGTAGAAACAAGGAAGTGGTCATAATGTGTGTGTGTGTGTGTATGTGTATGTATGTATATATATATATATATATATATATATATATATATATATATATATATATATATATATATATGTGTGTGTGTGTATATATATATATGTGTGTGTGTATATATGTAAAAACCACTTCCGTGTTAACATTTTAGTTACCAAGTTTATCAATTAATGGAAATATAGGTGGAAGTCATATTGAAAGGTTTGGCACCTTCCTGCTTTGAGAGCGATGTTGGTATTCATCTTGGAGACTGTAAAAAAAATCCTTCAGAGTTTTCCTCTCCTCACTGGAGCCCTTTGAGGGCCATCCAACGAAAGCCTTATGAAAGATGAGCAAATCTACAGAGCACCTCAAAGAGAGTTATTTCAGCAGCACACCTGCCATTTTTTAGTAATGACTTATGGGAATTGGAGTCCTTGGATGGTTCGTGGAGTGTTATTATTAGCCGCTGATAAGAGAGAGGCCTGCATATGCTGGTCTGGGCAAATTCCAAATGTCTCTTCCAAATGTATCTGGAAGTGGTGTATGAGTTTATATTAAAGATGAAAACATGATGCAGTGATCGAAACTTTAACTGTGCTGGCATTTGAGCCTCTGAGGAATGTGGACAGACACTCCAGTCTTTGGTACTCTATTAACTGTTCCAGCTTCCAGTATTTGAGTACTGAAATTTAATGTGACACTTCTGCTCGTATTTGAGAGTATTTACGCATGTATATCGTATTAGATCTGGCTCTATGAAACATGAGTGCCCTAGCGTAAGTGTGTTGCTCCAGGGTGCCTTAGTAAGGACACGAGTAAGAAGCCAGATGCAGTGCGGCTGCACTAACTGCCCAAGGTCATTTTACCAGGTCCAGAAACAGTGAAAAAGTGAAAGTTCTCTGACAAAGTAACATGTTGGTATATCGTTCACTGAGAAAACACTTTGTGAAAAAGACAACAAGCTGGTTAGTTCAGTTAGCTCATTAGTTAATCTGAGCTAACAAGAGGCAGCCTGTGTTACTCATTCAACACAGAAACCAATGGATTTCACTGGGCTGTTTTGTAAATAAACCAGGTTTTGAATGTAGTCCTGTACTGATGTAGATTGTCAGGCATTTTAAACGGAAAGTCCACCAAAATTCTGTCATTTTGTTCGTTCATCAGTAAAACATCAGTAATACAAACTCAATGTGCATTTCCTGAAGGAAACGGATGGTTGCGCAGCTTAAATGATTCCCACTTCCTGCTAGGTTGTTGCTAGGTGATTGCTATGGGGTTGCTATGTGGTTGCTAGGTGGTTGCTATGGTGTTGTTATGGTATCCTAGGTGGTTGCTGTGGTGTTGCTATGTGTTTGCTAGGGTGTTGCTAAGTAGTTGCTGTGGTGTTGCTAAGTGGTTGCTAGGTGGTAGCTATGGTGTTCTTATGGTATCCTAGGTGGTTGCTAGGTGGTTGCTGTGGTTGCGTAAGTCCACTGCCACCTTATATTTCCTGCTACCTTAACTTTACTGCTACCTTAAATCATTGCTGCCTTAAATCCACTTCCACCTTAAATCCACTACCACCTTAAATCTCCTGCTACCTTAAATCTCCTACCTTAATGTGTTTTGTATCTAGAACCAAATGAATGGCTGCAGCTACTACAGGCATTTTCAGTTCAATGCAATTTATTGTCATTAACACAATATGCAGGCAAATATGTAAACGAAAAGAGAGCTGCAGTTTCACCAAGGATAGTGCAAGGGCAAAAGTGCATATATGACATAAGTATAGATAAGAACATACAAGGTACAAGTGCATAAGTACATTTTGGCGTTTTTCTGACAGAAGTCACCTTTTGACGTGACCTTAATCACTTATACTCTGATACATTTCTTTATTCGAACATTGTTGATAGGATGATACAACAATACTTTGCTAGCTAATTCTGGGCTCGGAGGAACAGGTCCACTTCAGTATGGAACATCAATTTTTGCTGCTGTGTTGTGGTTTTCCCACTACTGTGTGTTTAGATTGCATGAAATTGCATTAGATACACATTGGAGATAACCGTGTCTGTGCAGACGTCACCAGCTCACTTCTATAAATAATGACACCTGTTGTGGATAAATCCAGAAATAGAGTTGCGTTTCAAAAGTGTGATGCAGTTGGAGCTACAGAAGCATGATTGTAGTCTCATCATATTGCAGCAAATGGGAAATTCACAGAGCAAGTATATAGCTCGGTCAGCTAGGAGCAATGCTGTGTAAATGCACATTGGGTAGTAAGTGCAGTTGATAAAATCACTGACTACAGAAAATGTATGTTATCAATCTTCTACTCACTTTCCGTTCACAGTGACTGAGTAGTACGACAGAACAGGGTGGACGTTCAGCGGTAGATGCAGCAAAGTCATTGCTAACAGCAGTAAGCATGTCTTGGGGGAAAAACTCTGCAGTCTTTGTGTTCTTTCAGAGATGCTAAATCATTTAATGCTGTTTTTCAGTGGAGCTCTCTTTGAATGATCTGACAGATCTTTGTCCAGCTCCAGGCCTTTTCTCTAGCTGCAGTCCGATGGGTGCGGATTTTGTGTGAGAGTTATAGCTTTGGACAGTTTCAGAGATTTAATGCCACACTTCATTCAGTGCAGCCCAGCAGTAGATGATTTGGAGCAGATGTGCAGTGTATTCTTCATTTCTTGGATAAATGATTTGAGCTTGAGTCATCACCACCTCGCTCCTAATAACACAGTCCAACTAAAGCCTCTTAAAATTCCCTCCTCATACGGACTCAAAACCCCAAAGCGTGGGCCTTACGTGCTGCTTTTGAACAGCTCAGGTGAAAGTGTGAGGTGTTGTCCACTCAGCCATCCCCAAATAGCGAAGGTTTATTAAAAAAATTAAACCTACGCCCAAATCCTCAGTCCTTTAAATCCAGACTGAGCTTAATCCCCCTCTACAGTGTTATACATGTAAGAAAATAGTTGCTGAAAATATGTGAGAAGACTGTGAACTGTGTAGTACTGAATCGTGAAGTTAGACTGTCCCACTATTTTTCTTCATTTTTGTGTTCAGGAATTTTGGCGGGCCTGAAATCATGGCTCGATGACGCACTGGTGCCATGTTTAGCGTGCTCCACTTACTATATAGGTGCACTTTGTAGTTCTACAGTTACAGACTGTAGTCCATCTGTTTCTCTGCATACTTTGTTAGCCCCCTTTTACCCTGTTCTTCAGTTTTCAGGACCCCCATGGACCCTCACAGAGCAGGTACTATTTGGGTGGTGGATCATTCTCAGCACTGCAGTAACACTGACATGGTGCTGGTGTGTTAGTGTGTTGCGCTGGTCTGAGTGGATCAGACACAGCAGTGCTGCTGGAGTTTTTAAACACCTCAGTGTCACTGCTGGACTGACAATAGTCCACCAACCAAAAATATCCAGCCAACAGTGTCCTGTGGGCAGCGTCGTGTGACCACTGATGAAGGACTAGAGGATGACCAACACAAACTGTGTAGCAGCAGATGAGCTATCGTCTCTGACTTTACATCTACAAGGTGGACTGACAAGGTAGGAGAGTCTAATAGAGTGGACAGTGAGTGGACACTGTTTAAAAACTCCAGCAGCACTGCTGTGTCTGATCCACTCGTACCAGCACAACACACACTAACACACCACCACGTCAGTGCTGAGAATGATCCACCACCCAAATAGTACTTGCTCTGTGAGGGTCCATGGGGGTCCTGACCACAGAAGAACAGGGTAAAGAGGGCTAACAGAGTATGCAGAGAAACAGATGGACTACAGTCTGTAACTGTAGAACTACAAAGTGCACCTATATAGTAAGTGGAGCTGATGAAATGGACAGTGAGCGTAGAAACAAGGAGGTGCAGTATGGGTTCTTATGTAATGTATTATATTTTTTGTTAGCATTACTGTAAAGGTCAGTGTTTAGAGTGTGTCCTTCACGCTGAGTGTCTGTCTGTCCTGTGTTTGTGTAGAGGGGATCAGGCAGAAGTACGGGGAGCTGCCGGGGGAGCTGCTGCTGGTGGAGTTGGAGAAGGACCGGCAGGGTTTGGGTCTCAGTCTGGCGGGAAACAGAGACCGCTCGTGCATGAGCATCTTCGTGGTGGGCATCACCCCTGGGGGGCCAGCCAGCCGCGACGGACGCATCAGAGTGGGGGATGAGTTACTAGAGGTGAGCGCACACACCCCCCAGGGATTAGTGTGTGAGTGGCGTTTACTCTGTGTGTGACTGTGAACATCCATAATCCACTCACACACACACTCACACCACCGTCAGAGTGAGTGATTCTCTTAAAAGCATCAGAGAGCATTTCTCTCTCTATCTCTCTCTCTCTCTCTCTTTTTCTCAATCTATCATGCCTTTTCTCTCTATTGCACTCTCTTTTCACTCTGTTTGTCATGCTCTTTCTCTCCATCTCACTCTCTCTTGCTCTCCCTCCCTCACTCTGCTCTCTTTCCTTCTTTCATTTACATACCCTCTTTTTCTCTTTCTTTCTCCCTCTTCTTTCTTTCTCTCACTTTCTTTTTCTCTCTTCTTCTTTCTTTTCTGTCTTTCTCTCTCCCCCTTTTTTGTACTTCTTTTTCCTCTCATTCCGTCTTTCTTTCCTCTTCTTCCTTTTTCTTACTTTTCTCTTTTCTCTCTCTCTTGCTCTTCCCCCTCTCTTTCCTGTCTTTCTCCCTCCTCTTTCCTTCTTTGACTTATATATCCTATTTTTTCTCTCTCCTCTTTCCCTCTCTCCCTTTCTCTCATTCTTCCTTTTTCTTTCTTCTTCATTTTCTTTCTCTCTCCACTCTCTTTCTCCCTTTCTATTTTTCTTGCTCCTTCTCTCTCATTTTCTCTTGTTCTTCCTTTTCTTTTTTCTTTCTCTCCCTCTCTCTTTTTGTCTCCTCTTTCTCTCTTTCTCTAGACACTCTCTTGCTTTGACTCTTTCTTGCTCTCTTTTCTCTCTCCCTCTCTCTCTCTCCTCTCTCTCTCTCTCTCTCTCTCCCTCCCTCTCCCTCTCCATCTCTTTCTCTGGGTAATAGTCATTTCGTGTTGAGACCACTCTCATCCACAGGGAAAATGAGAGGTTTCCATCACTGTCATTTTCATTCACTGCTGTTGCTCTCAAACACATGCATGCACGCGCACACACACACACACACACACACACACACACACACACACACACACACACACACACATACATAAACAAGCTCTTGGGCTTAAAAGATGTCGCCCCTTGCAGAATAAACATGGAGAGGTGACCTTTGTCTGATCCGGGTCATCCAGGACTCTCCAATGCTGAGGAAATAAGTTTCAAACTTCAAGAAATATTCCAGTGTTTTTTAAACCTAATCTGTGTGCTGCTTCTGTAGCATATGGCTGATTGCCATCAGCATATTTCGCTTTATTTAGAAAAGAAAAAAGTAAAAAAGCGAACTCATTTTTAATGAAGGAAATTGGGCAGGGGCTCTCGCTTCAGTGCGTGTCCATTGGCTTCCACTGTAAGTGTGTTTTGAGGGTTTGTGTTTTCTGTGGTAATCAAGATGCAACAGTCATAGGGAAAAGTTTGGGAACCTCTGATTAAATTAGAGCAAAACAAAAAAAATGTGTTCAGTGCAGGCGTCTGTTAGCAGACGTGGCAAATCCGGTGGTTGGCGTTTTCCTCCAAGCGTATTCGGCTGTCCAGTGACGTTGCATGAACATTAGTTTGAAAAGATGCGGTGGCGCTTCACAGGTCTCGGCGGAAGCCTGTGCTAGCCTTCACCCTCCTAGTGTTCGTGGTATCGTGTGACTGGGGGAGTCCTAACTAGTGCGTGGAACTGGATATGACTAAATTGGGGGAAAAAAAGAAATGTGTAATAATTAAGTGTGTTCTCTGTGTACTTGTATTCACGTAACCTGTAATTTGACTAGGGGTGTTCAAACTTTACGACTGGTACATACCAGAGATACGTGTCTCTGCAGTGTTTTGAACCGGCTGAGATGTCATCTCTGGACGTCCTCATTTTAGCATACAAGCCAGTTATTCATTTCAGAATTGTCTTAATTTGAAATGCCACTATGAATATTTTACAGAGGTCCTCAGTTCATCTGGCTTTCTATCCTACCGCCCCCCCCTCCCCCCCGCCCTTCTGTCTGTTTCTACACTCCTCATTTCTGTTGTGTAATGTTTTTTTCTCCCTCTCCCTCTCCCCCTCCTCTCTTCTGACCCTCATCTCTGCCAGGCCAGCTCCATTCATTACAGCAGCGTAACTGCCAGCATGAAAAATTAATGCGTGCAGTGCAGCTTGTACTGCTGGAACGCTGTAGCCATTACTGCGTACAGTACAGACACCAGCCCTATCATAGCTGGTTATCCTTCACAAAATCTCACATTTTTCTGATGTCTCTCTCTGACCGGCCTCAGTTTAGTGCGACTTGGCTGGAGTTTTTTTCATACTTCATCTTTATGATGAGCATCAGATTGCCTATTGATTCAGCACTTTGGTTGGTGTAGCAGAAAGAGGCCTTGAAAGCTGCCTTGCTGAAGCAGAAATCAGTGGGCTCTGAAATTTGGCTAATGTCTGCTTCCATTAGACCTAGACACAGTGCTGCATTAGTCACGATCGCTGCCAAACGATTCTGTCTCAGATGAATGGAGCTGTAATTATGAGCACGCCTTCGTAAGCTGGAGAGTTTGTATCGTAGGGCGATGCACTCTTTCACTGCTCCGCCACGTCCGTGTGCCCTGAGATTTGTTACTGCAAGGATGGCATTTTTCTTACCCTGTTTCATTCCTATATTTATTACAGCAATCACAGATGCTGCCATGGACTTTTTCAGTTACAAATGAAGAAGCAGCCTTGCTCTCTTCAGATTCCAGGCTTTTTCACATTCTAAGGCATTGGTCACCAACCCCCCTGAAGAGTCATGTAGCTCCAATACTTCGCCTTGCCCCTCTATCTCAACACAAATCAGGACACCCTACCACTAGGCGTGAACGCGCAAGACAGAGGGCTAAGGGCTAAGTGGTAGGGTCAAGGGGTGAAATGGATTTGGCCTTTACTTGCTGCCCCTCCTTAACCAACACTACTGCTTCTAATTCCGCCAGTCACAGATTTCTTTCTTTCTTTCTTTCTTTCTTTTCTGTGTTAATTAGCTGGAGGTGTGGCAGATTCTCATTCAGCATAGAACTGTGTGATAAAAGTTTGAATAGAGCTCTAATTAGGCCTGACATTTTGGTCTGAATCCGAATATAGCTAGAAAATTTCTGGAGTTCAAACTGACCCAAGTTCAACAAAAGTTTTTTTTGAAACAGGTTAAATTACTGTTTAGGAGTGGTAATAGTCATCATTGGATCATGGATATTTAAAATAAAAAATAATACCAAATGATTTAAGCAACGTTTAGTTCCGATGACTCTCTGGTTGAGGAGCGTTCTAGCCATTCTGTTCTCACAGCAACTATATCATTCCACTGAACACCGGTAGCTAAGTAACAACTGGTTTGCAGCTAGCCATGAGTACGTTTCAACATTACCACATACAAGAAGAAACAAATACATTAGATTACTTCTATAAAAGGATATTTGTCCTGAGTCTTACAGTAGGACCACATCAAACTTTGAACCAGTTGTTAATCGATAGCTGTGATGAACCAAGTGAACAAAAACAAACAGAATACAGTTCACCAAACAAGATGAGCTGTGAAGTGCTTTTTCAGAAGTATTGAAAAAGCTGAGCAGAACAGTTTGAGACAGTTTAATTGCTTTTTAGGTCTGTGATAGCGCAGTGATGTTGGTTTTGTGTTGGACATTTGTCAGATTTTTAACATTCTCATTTCGATTTCTAATGAAATATACATCCAAACTTATCAAGCCTACATTTTCTCACTCCTCAGAAGACAGAAGTGATCACAACCGAACATATATTTAAAAAATTCTGTCGTTGAGTTTCTTTAAACATTTGGAAACGCAGATTGCCAACGCTTTTTTCAACGGACCGTCTAAAAAGTGTATAACATGGATGACTTTCTACATTTTATTTCATATATATTAAGCTAAAAGAAGCTAAAAGAGCCCAAAACACATTTCACCAGATGTTCAGTTTGGACATATGGAGAATGGTTTAAATCATATTTAATGAATAGATGATTCTCGGTGTTACTGTGAATTCATTCATCAAAAAAAAAAATGTTGACCTTTTTTGGAATCCCACAAGGGTCAGTTTTAGGGCCTTTTCTTTTCTCTTTTTCTCATGTTTACACACTTAAAAATGATGGTTCTTCAAAGAAAATGATTCTATATGGAATCATGAACAGTCAAAGAACACGTTGCATGATGAAAGGGTTCTTTGCATCATGAAAGCATTCTTCAGATTGATGGTGAATGTGCTGTAGATGGTTCTGTATAGAACCTGTTTGAAAAGCGTTATATAATACCAAAAAGGGTGCTTCTCTTATTACAAGCTTGACAGTCGTAACCTATTGGAGCTACATAGAACCCTGTTCAAAAAGGTTCTATATAGAACCATCTACAGCACATTCTCCATCAATCTGAAGAACCCTTTCACAATGCAAAGAACCCTTTAATCATGCAAAGAGTTCTTTGTGCTAAACAAATGGAGGATATTAAAGTTCACAAATTTACTAATACAAGTGAAAATCCCACCAAGCAAGCTTTTTTGAGTGTTGCAGTGATGTCCGGAGACTTCCACACAAAAGCTCTGCGGCCTTCTGCTGTTTAATTCCAGTCATGTTCTAATGAGTACTTTCGAGAATACAGATTAGAATCGATCTTAGGGTCAAGTTCATCATTTGAAACACTTACATAATTGACCCAGGCGATATCGTCCTCCTTTGAATTTTAATGATGGTCTTTTTTTATTTGGCATTCAGATCAACAACCAGGTGCTTTATGGGAGGAGTCACCAGAACGCTTCAGCCATAATAAAGAGCGCTGCATCTAAGGTGAAGCTGGTGCTGCTCAGGTGAGAGAACATTACCCACACGCCCACACATGCAGTTCAAATGGGCTCCCTACACACCTGTACCTATATATACTTACTACTATATATATACTTACTTATATAATAATCTTATATATACATATATAGATAAAAGATTATATTCCAAGGGTGACACTTTGTAAGTATCTACATGTAATAAGAATTATCTAGGTCTAAGCCTAACCCTGACCTTAACCTATGTAACCAAAACAAAGTCAGGCCCATTTATTAGATCCTGTCCTGTTCTTCTCTCTTTTTCCTACATTTTTTGTACTGAAACTGTACAAAAACAAACATGTGCACACACATGGTACCAAAACTAGTACTAAAACTCAGAGAAAGCTGCTTTATAAGAAGCACACATCAAAGAGAGTTCATATCACTCCTGTTTTGAAAGCACTGCACTGGCTACCTTTTTAAATCTTTCGGGATAGATTTTAAAGTTCTGCTACTAGTTTTTATGGCTCTAAATGACATAAATGCACCACTTACATCATAAGAATGTCTGTCTGTTTATGTTCCAGCATGTGATCTTAGATCTGCAGATACTGACCTTCTACAAACACCTTCTGTAAATACAGGAAACATGAAGAGATGCTTTCAGTTATTATGTTTCTAAACTGTTCCACCTTTTATTAGACACTCAGGCTCGGTACATAAATTTACATTTAAAACTGTATCTCTGTAACTTAAATCAAACTGTTGATTTGATCTGTCATTTTCTTATGTGATTTGAAATAAATACTCCTAATTTCTTCTATTACTGATAAGCCTTATTATCTATCTGTAGAACTTTGAGCTGCCAGCATGAAATGTTCTATAGAAACAAAGTTGATTATTATTATTATTAGCAGTATTATTAGCACTATTATTATTACATACAGTTAACGAACACAGAGGCTGTTCTCTTATTCTGCTTAACAAACCATTCACTGCTCCTCTGCTTTTCTGTTCCACTTGTAAATGACTTTCATTTCAGAATGCTTTTCTTCTTTTGGGGATAATGGCTTAGTGTTTGCCATTGCCCTACATTCAAGCTATTAGTGTTTAACAAATTAGGAAGAAGTTTGAGGGATTTTTAAAAGCCGTCTGATGGTTCTTAAGCACCTTTTACTTTCATTCCGTCAAGTCAACCTCACTGATCTGCTAATAGCAAGGCAACTAAGAATGCAAATAACTTTTGCATTAGCCCAATATATAAATGAACCTCATTATTCATACCAAAAGAATACTGTGCAGTATAAAATCACTTTAGAGCGGCCTGCCTAGATAGAGACACTGTTGTACTCAAGAAGCTTTTCCGGAGATGTACATTTTTTTCTGTTTTGAGCACTGCTTTATAACCATTGTGAAGAAAATATAATGTTCAGATCCTCTCATGCGTGTAGTCACAAGAAGTTTTTGCGTTCCTTGTTTCTTTACTATTCAAAATGTAATTACAAGAGTTATGCATTAAATTTCACTTACATCTGATTTACATTCTCTATTGATAGGCTAGATTCTGCACGTTTGTCTGTTTTTTCAGTGTCAATTTTTTTTTTTTCTGCAAAACATGACAGGTTTTATATACTTGTTAACAATAAGTGTGGCTAAAATCCTGAACTCAATAATTAAGTGACCCTTATTACCCCCACAATGGGGAAATTTCACCTCTGCATTTTAACCTATCTGTGCAGTGAAGCACCACATACACACTAGTGAAAACACACACTAGGGGGCGGTGAGCATGCTTGCTCTGAGCGGTGGGCAGCCCTATCCACGGCGCCCGGGGAGCAGTTGGCGGTTAGGTGCCTTGCTCAAGGGCACTTCAGAAACATACGGTCAGCTCAGGATCGAACCGGTGACCTTCCAGTCACAAGTCTGATTCCCCTAGAAGTACATACTTTTGGCCATATAGTGTATGTTATATTATCAGCATTATGTAAGTCTGTTATTTTGCCCCAGAATGTGTCACGATACAGCCTCAGGAGAAAAAAAATCAGTGTCACCTGACAGATGGTATGTCAAATCTGGCAGTTGCAGCCTTTATGATAAATGACACTTATTGGAATAAGTGTTTACACATGTTTATGTTGGTTTGTGTCATTTGTCTTATGTCTTATGAATAGTCTTATGAACTCTGCTCTGCATTTTTAATGCAGATCATTGCATTTGTGGAAAGATTGATCTGTAACGTGTTTATTAATCTCATTTTCTCTTTATGTGCTGGGTTGCCGAGTTAGACACAGATATTTGCAGGTAATATCATTGTATGCCTTTAGATAAAAGATTAGCTTAAACAGGCTAACATGATGCCTGAGAGAGATTGTTAAAATGACTAATTATGTCAGCGCATGCAGTGTGACTTCTGCGCTTTGTGAAAGAAAAATAGTTTTATTCTCTAACTGAACAAGTGCTGTTGTGATTCGTCTTTCTTTGGGGACCACTGCTCACAGTATAGCAGCAAGTGGTAATTGGGTAGTCTACATAACAAATGATGGCCTATAAAGTCTATTGAAGCTGTGCATAAATCTCCCTGACATGAAATGTAGCAGCTGAGGTTGCCTGTAAAACCCATAATGGCCCGTGTGCAAGTAGTGCATACATATTTTAAATATTTAACCCTTTGATAAACATATTTACCATTTCATAAAATACTTGGGTTGACTAATGATGAATGAATGGAGTATTCCACATCAGAGGATCTGCCCTTTTGGTCAAAGGAAGGCGTCTTCGACCATCTGACTAGCTATCTTCATGTGAAACTCTATCTGTTATTGTCTTACCATTTAATGTTTTCAGATTCTAGAAAGAGCTGTCCTTGGCTTGACTAAGCTAACAAAACTATACATCTGTAGGGTTTTAGTGCAGAAATTTCATAACAGAAATTCAAGAAGTGAAAGAAAATGGTTAATTATGATTATGAAACAAGTGACGCAAGAAGAACTGGAATAAAAAGAATGTGAAGATCTAAACAGAATTCGCAGTCAGTACTTTGGCTTTGGTTGAGCTTCAAACACTACCCGTCAACAGTGTGCATACATTGCAAAGCAGTTAATATTTTATTTTTGGGGAGAAATCGCATACTTTTATCCTTTTTAATGTGGACAAGTTCAGTAAAATTTCATTCAAGTTGTACTGTTGCTTAAATACTGCTCTAATGCAGTAGATATATTGCCCAGCTTTTTGCTGTTGCTGTTATTGGCAGCTGTAACAAAATATGGTGTAATTCATTATTAATTATTCCTAACTCATAGCTTATTGAAGCAATGGAGAAATTTTGTGAAAAGCTTGAATTCTAAACTTTGAATCCATATCCATGCAGGGCTCCAGACTGGCTTTTTTAAGTCTTAGAACCATCCCAAAAAATACCGTCAGCTGTCCCAAAGTAAAAACTGACCACCCAAAACATTAAACTGCTTTGTTTACAGGAGATGTTGACTGTTGTAAATTGCCATGTTAATGACACACTCTAATCACTTACAACAGCTAGGGACATGGTCAGCGTAGACTAAATTATGATCAAAGTAAATGTTTTCTGCTTGTGAAGAGCTGACATTGAGTGCATTTACATGGACTTAATAATCTGATAACTGCAGAAAATCAGATTTTGTCATTAATTCGAAAAATGCATTTATATGCTCTTGATGGGGAAACTCCGGGTCTACATGGATCAGGCAGTAATCAGATTTCTGCTTTACAACCAGCCAATTTTTTATTTATTTTTTTTAAACCTGCACCACTTTAGATTAGATTACATTAAGATTAAGTGACCCTTATGAGTCCGACAACGGGGAAATTTCACCTCCGCAATCCACTTACACGCTAGTGAAGACACACTAGGGGGCAGTGGGCACACTTGCCCGGAGCGGTGGGCAGCCCTATCCGCAGTTGGGGGTTAGCTGCCTTGCTCAAGGGCACTTCACTCGTCCTGCCCGCTCAAGGGTTCGAACCGGTGACCTTCCGGTCACAAGGCTGGTACCCTAACCTCCAGTCCACGACTTTACCTGAAAATATGATCATACATCATCTAGAAGATGAGGAATTTTTAAATCCTTCATTTCGCCAAGCATGCATTTGGTTTCAGTGTCGCTCCAAAAGTGTTTTGATACGTCTCGCCTATTTCTGGTACTGAGGTTGGAGTTCACATGCACTGAGAAATCTGATTACGAAGCTAAAATCCAGCTCTCTTTATCAGATTTCTTAATCGGATTTCTAGACCTTACTCTGGTATAAGAAATCAGAGTGTGGTGTTTACGTGATCATTTAAATAATCAGATAACTGCAGGAATCCGATTATGATTAGATTATTGAGTGCATGTAAACACACTCATTGTTGCATATGGAACTTTTTTGGTATGAGAGTGATGCTTAGATAGAGTAGCCACTCCGACTTCTGTCATTTATACCAGGATTTCTTATCCTGTGTGAATCAGTCATGAACATTATCAACGTCCCGTGGTAAAATTACCTCATGTGTCCATTAAAACGAATCCCCTCTGAATAGTCCTTAAGTCAGGAAAGTCTTCTGAAGGTGTGTGTGCTGTGTGTATTGTTTGTTACAGTTTCTGTGCTTTGACCCAGGAGGTTAATCTCGCTCGACTTGACCCACTACCCTGCCTTTTCGAACTGTTTCACTGCGTCTCTAATCAGCCTCTGAAAACTGCTCCCAGATCAGCTATTAATCTGAGCCTATGGGCACAGCTGGGCAGGATAAACTGGCTCTGAGCTCAAGGTCCTGATTTGAGCAGCAGCAGTTGTGGAAAGAGCAGGAATCACTGTCAGTGAATGGATCACGCATTAAGAGTCTGATTACTGAATATTAGAGAACATCAGTGCTGTACCGACAGCTGATATGAGATATTTGTGTGTGCACGTGTGGCCTTGAGTGGAATTGTTTATGATGTATCACCAGGAGTAACAGCAACACTTTGGAATCTGTGATGCATAATGTAAAATACTGGATTCATGATTCGGTATTCTCATGATCTTTTCTACTAAAT